CATGCAAATGTTCAGATTAGCTGTGTTTAAGAAACTACTCACTGAAAGATTTTAGAGCAATAAAAGCCAGAGTTATCCATGAAGGACATTTCAATTGTATGACTGCAGTAGGTTAATGTTGATGTTTTAATTGAAATCATAGTGAGGCCTCCTTTGTTTCTGCAAGCATCTTAGAGGCCAGATGCACAGTGTTGAATTTGGCATAGCTTCTGGACTGTATGTTAGCCCAGCGAATCCTCTCTTTGACCATAAATGAACAGTTCGGGTAAGTACAAAGCCTTTTTGTTTCAGGACGTTTTGGGGAAACTACCAATGCATATAAAATAGGGACACAATTAAGAATTGATAAAACTTTTCAACTTAATTATCTTAAAAGGTCAGTGTCAATAACCATGTCAGACCATTTGAAATTTTTAATTGAGCAACAAATATCTATGTTTTATTTTTTGTTGATATCTCCGCATTTTAGTTGAACGGTGAGCCCACATCTCTCTCACTGCATCAACAATTACTTTATGGGCTGGATAGAAGTTAGCTCTATATTTCTCTCTGCTTTTAGAACGTAAACTAAGACTATGACGATGATAATAAAATAATTGCATCTAGTATGTATTTAACAATTGCAATGATCCCAATGCTATGTTAAGCCATTTACATAAATTGTCCCCATTTAATACTTACATCCACCCCTGTAAGGTGGATATAATTATCCCCATCTTGCAGATAATAAAACTGAGTTCTAGAATTTTTCAAATAGAATAAAATCAAACAAAATAAAAATAAAGCTAATCAGAATAGAACAACAAAAGTGATACAGGACTTCAAAACAAAATAATAGGAAATCAACAATGGCTACCATAATGTCTCATTTTCTTAAAAATAGCAAGACAGAATTTAGATAGTTTAAAGCTACTAAGTAGACCAATCCAGGTAGTCTGTCCTAGAACCCATATTAATTTCTTTAAACATTTTTTAACTTTATAAAACATTTGCCTGGTTCAATATCAAACTGTAAAACAAAATACATTTTAAAAGATCCAGTTTTGTCTCTCTTCTGTTATGGTTTGATTGTATCCCCCAAAGTTCTTGGGTTAGAAAACTGAATCCCCTTTGCAACAGTATTGGCAAGTGGCACCTAAGAATAAGTAAGCAGGCTATGAGGGCTCTGCCTTTGTGAAAGGGTTAATGTCTATCAGAGGAGGAAGTTATTGTGAGAGCGGATTTGTTATAAAAGTAAATTCATTCTTTTCTTGTCCTCACCCTCCCTTCCCCTCTACCACTGGATAACAGCATAAAAGTTCTGATTCAGCTGCCAGCACCATACTCCTGAGCTCCCAGCTTCTAGAACCATAAGCCAAATCATTCTCTGTTCTTTATAAATCATACAATCTCAGATACTTTGTTATATAGCAGTAGAAAATGGACTGACATTCCTCTCCATTTTCTTCTTCCCTACTATTTGTAAAGGGTTTTTATTATACTTTACAGTTTCTTTTTGAAAACATATTTAAAACGTATATATGTGCATACTGTATGTATATAAACCACATCACTAATGAGAATATCTTGTGCTGTTTTGCTTTTTATTCAATTTAAGAACCTTTAAAAATGCATTTTCTTATCAAAAGTAGGTTCATGAAACCAGTCTGGCAAATATATTTCATATCACTTTTAAGATATCTGCCTGAGTGCTGAATTTACGTTTCCATCCCCTCTCCAACATTTATATTCTGCCTCATGCTTGAGATGCTTGAGTTATACAGCAAGATAAGGAAGACTGTCACATTCTGCCTTGAGTAAAAATGCTTTTCTATAAAACTTGAATCTGATGCTGTTGAATCTGGCTAGCTTGTAAAATTGAAATTGGGCTCATCATATAAGTCTATTTTTTTCTCTAAAGGGAAAGGGAAAATTGTAATAATCACTGGATTTATCTTTACTTGCTTAAAAAGGGGACTGTTTGTTGGTGTTCTGCATTTTGAGGTTTTCCAAAATTCATAGAGTACCTGTTCCCTGGAGGTTTGGTGTTTCTGAAGCCATGGAAACAAGCCAAATGTTACTGGTTTCTGCTCTTATATTTCTTTGTCTACAGTCTTCAAGTTACTTTTCTGTTTGGCAAATGTATGTATTAGCTTTCTAAGGCTGCTATAACAAATTACCACAAATTAGATAGCTTAAAATAATAGGAATTTATTCTCTCATAGTTCTGGCAGCCAGACATCCAAAGTCAAACCAGTCTATATTTTTAAAGCGAGATTCCATTCTTTTTTGAGACAGGTCTCACTATGCACTTCAAGCAGGCCTTGAACTCACTATGTAACCCAGTCTGGCTTCAAATTTGCACTGATCTTACTATCTGTGCCAGGATTACAAACATGTGCCACCACACCTGGCTTACCAGGTGTGGTGGCACATTCTGTCTTGAGTAAAACTGCTTTCCATTCTTCACCTCTTCCTCTTTCAGGTGGCTGTCAGCGTGCATTGATTTGTTGATCAGTGCATCATTCAGTTACTGCCTCCTCTTCTGTCTTAAATCTCTCTGCCCTTATTTCAGGAGCATACCTAAAATACCTTTCAGAAAATCTAAAAGAGATGGGCAAAGGTATACTAGGAAGATTGAAACAAACAGCAGGGTTAATCTTGATCTCATACAAAGTAGAATTCAAGTCCCCAAAATAAAAAAGAAAATATTTTAATGCTAAAAGCTACACCTCACCATGAAAATATGCTTGTAAACATTTTTACACTAAATAACACAGCAACCATCTTTATACACCAGAATCTATAGGAAATATAAGGATGGGTTGAGAGGTGCTAATCATAGGAAAATTTAAACAGCCCTCAAAGGGCTGGTTAAGTGAATAAAAAAATGAGAAAATAGAAGTTCTGTACAATACAAGCAATAAAATAGATCTAACAAGTATCAACCTGTACATCTTGATATTAGAGGTAATAGGCACAGACCTCAAGTGCCTATACTGCATATATACAATAAGGTTAAATACTAAGTCACAAGGAAAATACCCATAATTTCCATTAAGTAGAAATATGAAAGAACATTCTGATTACAATGCCGTAATATAAGAAATTACTAATAAAAACAAAAGTGCTTCCATGTGGGAATTTTAAAACTTTCCATCAACTACCCATTAGGTAAAAGGAAGAAATCCAAATTAAAATTACAGATTTAAAAAGACGACAAAAAACTTATATTTCAGATACCTGCTCTATATTGTAAATTATATGATGAGAAGGAAGCAAGCAATTGTTCAACCTACTCGATATTTTTTGTACAGAGAAATAAAATACTTTAATTCCAAGTATTTCTAATGTTTTAATTACAGTACATTAAAAGTCATTTTTCATTTCTATATACATAATAGTCAGTAGTAAAAGTTTCTAATGTTTTGACAGGATTTGCATTTTCCATTAATTATTAAGAATGGAGGCTTGAGGTATGTAGCTCAGTGATAAAGCATGTGGTTTGCATGTACAAGGCCCTGGGTTAAGTCCCTAACACTTGAAATAATTGAAACTGCTTTTCACAGTTTCAGCATTCATTGTCATTTTAATGATCATATTGCTGTGCATATTGAGACTATCTGTACTTTGCAGATAACTATATAAATAAATTTGGAAACTTGAATAAAACGTAACTTCCTTTAGAAATATAGATCATCAAAATTAACCCACAGACTTAGAGAAAGTTAGTAGGAAACTACACCACAAAAACCTGAGAATCAGATGGCTTCAAAGGGAGCAGATACTCCAATAATTCTCAGATTATCCCAGGCTCCTGGAAAGGAACAGAGGTATCCTAATTCGTTTTATGATGGAATTCATAAATAACTAAACACAGCAACCACATAGCAATCAGTGTATAATACTGATGGACAATACAAAGAAGGTAAAGCATAGATCAGTATCATTCATGAATATGATATAAAAACATTAAATATTAGAAAATGTAATTCATTACACTGTAAGAAAATAATGCTCTGTGATCAAGCATATTCACCCCAGAAATGCAAGTTTGTTTCTGTATTGTGAAATCCAATGTCATACGATGTATTAATATATCTAAGGAAAAACATTTTTTGTTTATGTGTGTGTGTGTGTGTGTGTGTGTGTGTGTATCATAGTCCCAAACCTAGTTTCCCCATTAAATTTTCACTATAGGAACAAGACAGACATGGCCACTATCTCTGGTACTATTCCAAATATTAGTAGAGATATTAGCCAGTGCAGTTAAACAACAAAAAAAAATCAATAAGGGCTGGGGATGTAGCTCAGTGGTAGAGTGCTTGTCTAGCATGTATGAGGCCCTTAGTTTAACTCCTACACTAGAAAGAAAAGATGGAAGAGGAAGGGGGAAAAATAACCAGTTAGAGAGACAAAACTAAAGAACATGTAAAATTCTATTTGCAAATAGGGATGTATATCTGAAAAATTAGAAAATCAATGATAAAACTAACTCAAGCAGTAAAATGAATGCAATTTATTACCATAGTAAGAAAATAATGCTCCATGATCAAGTATATTCCCCCAGAAATGCTATAAAATAATTGCTTGAGTAGATAGTAGGCAAGATAGAAAGTAAGATAATCAATAGCTTTTATAATCAGTTTGCAATGTAAATATGCTTGGGGCATGTTGTAGTGTTAGAAATGAAGCAGATATTCAAAAAAGATAGGGTACAATGGTATTTCAGTTTACAAAATTCTTTTTTTCCATGATTTTGTTTACAAACTGAACTGAACAAGATCCAAATCAAAACCATATTACTGAGTTTTGTTGGATCATTGAACAAAACTGTTTGTAGTCTCATTGTTTGAAAGTCCACTTTATATGTTTTAATTTTGGAGCTTGAACAACTATTTCTAAGATAACAATATGTAATCTATTAACTAGTGATTTCCTACTGTTTATTCTTTTTGAAATTCTGTATAACTTGTACCCTTTTCCTGTTTTTTTTTCTTTTTCTCCTTAAATAAAATTTAAAAAATATAAAAAAGATCCAAATCAAATTTTCTCATAAGGTTAATTATTAAACCTACCTATCAAATTTGATTTGGTTCTTGACCAAAATTGTGAAAAGAATTAACTTCATGAATCAAGGTATCACTGTATGTCAAAACAGCTCAGGTGCTAATCTGAAAGAGTACCCAATGTCCAAAAGTAGGACAGTTTAAAACTGAATTATAATCTAAAGACTAAAATAGATATCCATGAGTCTATAAAGATATAAATAAATGAATAAACTAATAGGGAAGGGATGAGTCTTACAGAGGAATTTCCAGTAGTGTAGAAGACTGAGGAAAATAGAAAATCACATTAGGATATCACAATAATAATTGCTGCAGGCAAGATATCCATGAATGGACACTAAAATTAGTCTATGACAAAGTAAAGTGAAATAGCATATTTTTATATTCTCAAAATATCTCCAAGATACTTAATTACAAAAGGGAACTATAATAACCTAACAGCAGAGAAAACTATCAAGATACTACCTGAACAAAGTTGCAGATGGTGAGAGCAGGGCAGCCCTTCCTGTGTCTCTGGCCCCTTTCAGTTGTTGCGATGCCTGTTCAGATGCTTTGGACTTTCTTACTAAGAACTAGTAAGACTTTCCTAAAATATGACCATGTTCTTATTTATTTGTCTTTTTGAGACAGGGTCTCTATGCAGTTTAGGCTGGCCTTGAACTCACTTTGTAGCCCAGGCTGGTCTCAAACTTGCAATGATTCTCCTGCCTCAGCCTCCCGAGTGCTGGGATTACAGGCGTGAGCCACCACGCCCGCCTATGACCAAGTTTTTTAAATTGAGGTCATGAGGGTAAAAAGTAGAAGTATGCACAATATGATATTAAATTGTAGCAACTTTTATGAAATTGTAGCAACTTATGATGCTTCTTAATCCCCATTAGAGGGCTGAAACTGTACCTAAACAACCTATTTAGGACTCAGTGCTTTTTGATGCCTTAGAAATAGGAAAAGTAATTTTTGTTTGACTAAGGGTAGAAAGAAAAAGTCCATTTTATAGCTAATTATATCTGACCCGCAGGAAAAAGTATTAATTTGTTCTTGTTCCTGGCTTTCAGTTTGTGAGATTATTTTATTTATTTCAATAAATTCTAAAATTAAAATTTTTGGAACAAAAAAAAGATACTACCTGAACCAAGTGATAACTTTAACATTGCCAGTATCTTACATCCCAGATATATGGAATAAAAACAAGAGTTTTTGTAATATTCTTACAAAAAATGTATAATCTCAACCTAATTATGAGAAAACATTGGACAAACCCCAACTGGAAGAACATTTTACAAAATAATAACATAATTTCAAGTCATGAAACATAAGGAAATACTGAGAAACTCAGATTAGAGATTACCATAGAGACATATGACTATTACAATATGAGATCCTGGGTTGAATTCTAGAACAGAAGGACTGTAAGGGGGAGACTAGTGAAATTTGAATAAAATCTATACATAATAATAGTATAACAGTTACTTATCTTGTTTAGGTCATCGGACTCTGATTATGTAAAAGGTTAACATTAGGTGAAACTCAGGAATATATAGGAACCTTGTGGTATGTAAGTAATCATAAAATGAAGTTATGACTGCATGAACAATTATGTTATCAGCAGATATTTGTTCCTTAATTTTAAGAGACTTAGGGATTGTCCGATACAAACTGCTTTAGAGTGACCTGTTTTGTTTATTTAAATTCAAGGAGCCTGAGAAAATAATCCAGGAAGTTTTACTTTACCCTTTATTAAATCCAAAATAAGTTAGCTTCCCTGTCAATTCTATAAAACCTTCCAAACAGAAGTTGATCTGGCCATTTAGGAAGTTAGAGATGTTTGAAATTTTAGGAAATGAACATTGGGTTGGAAGGGGGTAGAATTTTTAAAAAGAGAACATTAAATGAAATTAGTTTCATAGTGGTGATCTTTTCAAGATATGTGCAATGCATCTTCCCCAGGTATTCCGGAAGGACCTCATCAGTGCCATGAAAATTCCAGATTCTCACCACATTAATCCTGATACCTATTACCTCTTTTCGGACACATGGAAAGAAGAATGGGAAAAGGGAGTCCAAGTACCAGCCAGTCTAGACACTGTTCCACAGCCTTCTCTCAGGTATTTGCATGTTCTCTAATTCACTGAGATCTAGTATATGATACCATGTCATGATAGTTAAGTAATTAAAGTCAAGCTCATTTGTATAGAAATATAATGAGCCCATTCATAGTATGGCACTGTTTGAGATTCAATCCATAATTATAAGAATTTGGAGACTCCAAATCTCACTCAACAACCAATAGCATTTTTAGTCTTCCAAGAGAGACAGCATTAATAACTTTCTCATGAAAAGTTGCTTCGGGGGGCTGGGGATTTAGCTCAGCGGCATAAGCACCTGCCTTGCAAGCAGGAAGTCGTAAGTTCGATCCCTGGTACCGATAAAAATGAAAAAGACAAAAAAAAAGTTACTTCGGTATAGCATGGGCCTCATAGCGATGGTGTCAGTAGATAACCAAAACTTGCAGTTTCAAGTGACAAGAGAGTTTTGGAATAGTTGGATTAACTATAAGCACATGGCCTTCACTTGCAAAGACTTGAGAAGAAAGTTGAAATAGGAGTGGGCTGTGGTTTCATGGAAAGAGGAGAGAAGGACTCTTCTTCCAGAGGAAGTGGTAAGTTTAGCTCCTAAAATAGTTGCTGATTTTGGAAGCCATTTTTGTCTTCCTGATCTTTGTGTGTTCCCACTGCTTTACACAAAGGATAGCAGGAAGTAAAACATTCCGTATAAATTTGTGTCACTGGAGCCAGGAATTTAGTTCAATGGCACAAGCACCTGCCTGGCAAGTGTGAGGTTTTAAGTTTGATCCCTAGTATAAAAAAAAAACTTTGTGTCATGAAGGAATGAATAAATATAACACAAAGCTCCAGGTAAAGGAGCTGGTTGGACCTGTTGGTTACTATCAGAAATTGTAGGTTCTTAGGACCTAATTATGCTCCACATATGTTTGTTGAATCACTTCTAGAAACCCAGGCCCAAGCTATCCTACCTGTAGAGAGGGTGTCCGTTCTGTGTTTAGGAAAGACTCAATCTTAATCAACACATGTGCTAAGCCTCACTAGTTCATCAACAGTACCTATCTCTTGCCTCCTAAAAATCAGAATAACATCATGAATGAATTCAAAAGAGTTGAACATTTTCATATCCTTGCTGTCCATATTTTTATATAGCTATAGCAGCCCTGGTGCTGAACTGAACAACCATGGCCATTTCATTAACACTCCAGCGACTTTTGCAACGTCTTGACTTTTGTCTTGATGTTAAGTCAGTATCAATTGTCTACTTAAAGGAGGTACTTTTAATCATTTCAAATCAGATGGCGAATATCTAGTGTACTATTTTTAAAATGCCATCCATCTGATAAGTAGGATAACAAGTCCATCAGCAGTTGAGGAATAGTGAATTTAGAGACTAAAAGAGTTGATTTGTTCTGAGAGTTTAGAATACTACTTTAAGTGCTGTTAATTTTTGATATCTCTTCTGTTTGTCATAGTTCTTTGCCTAACTCGTAAAATCCTGAATTTTAATTGAACAAACCACACTATTAAATTATTGATTATATTAAATTCCTTAGTGAAATGCAGAACCTGTTGGTTGCTCTTGATAGGTAGAGTATGTCATTTTCTATTTCTTAAAAGGCATCAATAAGAATCATACTATAGCATAGAGTCTTCACTGTGGAACAACTATTCTCAAATTTTTAGGTTATATCAAAATCACCTAGGGTATTTTTAAAAACAGATTTTCTAAACCATATGCCCAAAGTTTATAATTGAATGGATCTTAGGTATGAGGCCTGAGAATTTGCATTTCTAATAATTCTCCTACTGATGCTGATAGTGCTTATCTAGGGAGGACATTTTGATAACAATTGTGTGAAATGTCTTATTTCCTGAATTTAATGGAAATCACTTTTATCAGCTTCCTTAGATTTGGCCTTAAATATTGAGTCATCCATACTGAAGATTCAACTGATTTATCTTTATGTTTGTAAAACCTAATGCCTTCAACCACTCTTATTGCAGCTATCATCATTTTGCAAGGCTCAAGTTATGTTATGATTTTTACTTTTTACATTTTGTAGGCCACCTGAAACATTTTTGTGATATGAAATGATAGATATTAGAACATTATTGAATTAATTTGTATGCCCCTTTATCTAATTTTCAAAATCAGATGAGTTCAATTAACATTTTGGGAGGCAGACAAATGGTGGGCACACACCTGTAATTCCAGCACTCTGGAGACTGAGTTCAAGACCAGCTTGGGCTACATAGTGAGTTCAAGGCCAGTAGCAAGACCCTGTCTCTAAACACCAAAAAAAATTTTTTGGAGTCCTGTATAAATTCAGGTTTATTTACTTGGCCTCATGGTATGATGTTACTCCAAAACCGCCCTTTTACATAGAGCCTAGCCTAAGTTTGTGATTTTGATGTTCATATTTATTGCTTTTTTTCTTTTGGATCATACTTTTAATGTCATGTCTATGAACTCACCTCAACATGTCCCAACAATTTTTTCCCTTTGTTTTCTTTTAAGCCTTTTATATGAGGCATAGTATGGTCACTATAGGTAATAATTAGTTACGGTGAGTATAGATAATAATTATGTACTATGTATTTCAAAAAGGTAGAAATCAGATGTGGTACTGCATACGTGTAATCCCAGCAATCAGAAAACCAAAGCAGAGGGGCTGGAGGTTTAGCTCAGCGGCATAAGCGCCTGACTTGGAACCAGGCAGTCGTGAGTTCAATCCCTGGTACTGATAAAAAGGAAAAAGACCAAAAAAAAAAAAAAATGCAAACCGAAGCAGAAGAATTGCAAATTCAGAGACGGCCTGGGCTACATAGCATGTTTGTGGTCAGCCTAAACTATATACCCAAGACCATCTCAAAAATAAACCAACAAGAAAGGATTTTGAAAGTCTTCACCCCAACGGATTAATAAATATTTTAGAAAATAAATATATATAACCTGATGTAAATTTAGGCAAGCATAGCCAGACTTGATGACACATGCCTATAATTCCAGCAGTCCAGGAGGCTGAGGCAGAAGGACCAAAAGTATGAGCACAGCCTGGACAGTGTAGTGACTTAGCAAGACCCTGTCTCAAATTTATAGAAAAGGAAAGTAAAGGAGGAGGAAGGGGAGGGAAAGGAAAAGAAAAGAGCTGGTTAAGTTGCTGGGTTTAGAAAAGAGCTGGTTAAGTTGCTGGGTTTAATCTCCAGAAACACTAAAAGATACGTTATATTGTACACGTGTTGAGCATTATATGGTACCCCATTAATGGGTACAACTTTTATGTTTTTTGTATCAGTTAAAATTTTTAAATGTCAATAAAAATGTTATCACTATAAAAGTTTTACATTTAAATGCATGATTCCTTTTGAGTTAATTTTATATAAGTTTAGGTCCAGGGTCAAGGTAATATAACTGGAGTCTTTTCTCTTAATCATTTTTTCTGAAATTACAATGGATTTTCTAGTTTGTCTTTCAACAGAAATTTTGTATTAAGCTTGTCTATCTACAAAAACTTGCTGTATTTTCACAGGGGTTACATTAAAACTGCATATTATTCAGGAGAAGTTGGCATCTTTACTATGTTGAGCCTTCCAGTTTTTTATTTATTTAAGTCTTTCTTTCATCAACATTATGTAGTTTTCAGCAAATGCATCCTGTATGTTTTGCTAGATTTATACTTCTGTTAATTTTTGTAGTGATTGTTATGTTGTAATTATAATTTTAGTTTCCAGATATTCGTTGTGATTACATAACAAATGTGATCAGTTTTTGTGTATTGGAATAAGTACCCACTATTATTAGCTTGGGCTGCCATAATAAAATACCACAGGCTGGGTAGCTTTAACAGGAGAGGTTTATTTCTTAGAACTCTGAAAGCTAAAGTTCCAGATCAAAGTCTGATGGGATTCAGTTTTTGATAAGAATCTTCTTCCTTGCTTCCCCCATTTTTGCCATGGCTTTCCTTGGTGCATGTGGGAGGAATTGAGAAGGGAGTATTGTTTCCTCTTCCCATTGGATTAGAGTTCCACATATGACCTGATTTAACCTTAATTACCCCTTGTAGGCCCTCTCTCCAAATACTTTGAGGGTTGTAGGACTTCGATATAGGAAATTTTTTGAAGGGACACAGTTCAGTTCATAACACTCAGTGGGTCAGAGTTTATAACTTTCCTATATACTGTTTTGATATGATATGCTCATATCTTCTGGAGAATTTTTAATGTGTATGTTCCTGAGAAATACTGGCCTCTAGTTTTCTAATGATATTTTTATCTGATGTTGTATTAATGTGATGCTAGTCTCAAAATTAGTTGAGGCGTATTCTCTTGTTTTGTGGAAAGAGTAAATACACTTATAAACACATATATATATGTGTTTATAACTTGCTCCTTTTGCTTAATATATACTTCTGAATCATTAATATATACTTCTGCATCATTAACAAAACTAAAAGATGAAACAATTGACTATAAAGACAAGTCCCTATTTCCTCACTGAAACCAGATCCAAATACACAACTCCCACTTCAATAGTTCTACTTAAAATCCAGTAGATGTGTCAGATTTAAACATCCCAAACTGGACTACTGATCTTCTTTCCAAAGCAATTCTACCTGTAGTTTTTCACTTTTTGGTGATGTGAAAATCCATTCTTTCATTTTAACTAACTTTTTAGGCCAAAATCCTTAGAGTCATCTTATTTTCTTGTCTTGCATTCCATATTCAATCTCCATATTCAGGAGATCTACTTTCAAAGTATATCCAGGTTTCATACAATAAGTGAGAAGAATGACCCCTAGTGCTACATGAGACCACAAACCTGCCTCCCATCTCACTGCTCTACTTGGCCATCTAGGTCTCTCTCCTCACCCCACTTCTCCCACATTCCTTTCTACTATACTTTAGGCAGGAGCTCTCTACCACTCCTGGTTTCAGGTAATGAGTAAAATACACCAACCACTTTTATACACACGTTTATCTTATTTATATATAAAGTTTAAACCAGCTGGGTATGGTGGCACATGCCTATAATCCCAGCA